GTGCTGAAAAATTTTTCAGAGTACCATTACATGAAGATCCAGCTGTAAGTGTCACTCAACTAACCTACAGCACCAAAGTCCATACCAGGTACTAATAGCATTGTTTGTTCTGCAGTGTGTTCCAAGAAGAAAGGATCCAGTTGAATGCTGCACAGTTTAAGTTATTGATTGTTACAGCTTTAAAGACACTGCATGGAGAGGTATTTATGACTTTCATTACTCACTTGTCAGATTTCAACAATATCTACTGTATTAATTTCCGTAAAAAATAGGGATCTATCACCGGAGTAGTGAAACACAATCACTTCCTGGTTTGGATGTCTTAGCCAGCCCACAATGAGCGTTCAGACCTGGCAAATGTGAATTCTGTGCATATTGGACGTCTGCTGTCAGCATGCAATGGTGCCTCCCTCTGCAGTGAGAGATTGTATTACAAGTAGAACTAGAGTGAGAAATCACCAGTTCATTTACCCTCTTTTCACCAAGGGCCATGCCAGCAAGGATTACGCCAACTGAATCAGAGGTTTATTAAACCACTTATATTGGTTGGTGTAATTCTTTAATGTTTCAGACTGAATAGCAGTTCCACTACTAAAGTCTATGGACAAACTGATATTCATAAACATATCTCTGGTCCTAGGCTTTAGGCCTGTTGTCTTATACCAGTGCAGTCAGAGCACAAATAAATAATACTTACTTAAATATATTCTGTGATTCCTAAAAAGAATGTTTTCTTCTACAAAATAAGTTATTTGTAAAATGTACCACATCTCTAACTTGAAATGCTCTGTCAATCATTTTGTCAATCATTAACTTGTTTTTATTGGTATACTTTTGTTCAGATTACATTAAATTCAATTATGTTTAAACACTGATCCATTTATTTATATTTACAAGATTAGGTCACGGTTACTCATTTTTTCACTTCTTTTTAGCTATTTCAAGCCTTCTCATATTTTGCCAGTACGCTACTTGCAACAGAATTAAAACAGAATTAAAAAAAACCAAAAACGTTCATTTTTCTTTTATTCTAGCTTATGAGAATTTGTTCCTAACTTTATTGTTTATGCTGTTTTGTGGCTGCTTATTTTCAGGTGGGAGCATCTTTTCCTTTGGACCTGTTGAAATATGATGAAAAGACACTCTGTGCTATACTAAGAATAAGTAGCAGGTATAAAAAAAAATCTTCTTAATGCCCAAGGGTAGAGTTTTGGAGCAAAATAAAACCAACAAAGGGAAACTCTAGCTGCATATATATATTTCATTTATGGAACTAAACACAGAATAAGTGGCACAAATATTTATTTTAGTTT